TTTTTTGTCATGCAAAACAGCATTAAAATAGATCTACTGGTCTTTTTTAATTAATACACACCACAACACTATTTATATAACTCAAAATTAATACTTTATATTGCACTATAATTGAACGCAACGAGTAGAAAATGAGTCTGGAGTGAGTTCTGGACCAAGCAGGACAATTTAGCTCACTTGATCTCACTTTCCAGAAAAAAAAATATTTACAACATATTGAGTGTGAAGAACCATTAAATAGTCTAAAGAACCTTTCTGTGCTACAAAGAAAATTTGTGCAATGGAAAGGTTCTTTGGATATGGAAATAGAAAGGTTCTTCATGGAACCATACACCCTGCCAAAGAACCATTTAAGAACCTTTTTTTAAGAGTGTATGCACATGCGAATAGTGCAACCAGTGGTCACTTTGCTATCCCATAAGGCCACAGGAGCTGAGCAGTCATCAGATTTGAGAACTAAGAGCTAAAGAAATGAAGGTTGCTCATGATAAACTTGTTTAACAACACCCAAGTAAAGTATTTTTGTGGTTGTTGTTGATAGTTTTTATGTGCAAAGCAGGGTTATTATTGGCAACGAAGACCATTTATTTAAATTCTAAAATAAAATAAACAGTAGATGGAAAAACAAACCAAAAAAAATGTAAATGTTGCCTTGGCAACTGAAATATGTTTGGCACTAAAATAAGTTGAAATACTAAAATTGCTAATTGTAAATAAATACAATTTAAAAAGGGGTTTAAACAGGGTTGCTAGGTCTATGAAACAAAACCAGCCCACTTGCTATTTAAAATGAGCCCATAACTAGCCCATTTGCTTTTTTGCCGTAGTTTTCCCCTCTCCTCTTTGCCTAAATCGCATTCCGGGAAGTTGGGGGAGATCGCTTTAACCAGCGGACTAAAACTCAACCAGCAGCACTAGTGTAAATGTAGCCCAATTCCACGGTGACCGTGATTTCATCAAGTACAACATGTTCCTGGATCAACATCCTTGTTGATCCTGGAACAACATTCCTATCAACCAATCAGAATTGAGGGATAACTTTTCAGGAAATATCTGTTTTAGGCTTACAATCAGGGTTAGGTGCTTCTACACCCTTGTTAATTTCACACTGTTTTAGGAATAAATTATGGGTAGGGTTAGGTTTAGGGGTAGGGATTGGGTTAAGTCTATATTTTTGGACAGTTATGTTGATCCAGGATCAACAAAAGATCCAGGAGTCTTACTTGGCAAAATCACGGCGACCCAATTCCACAGTAAGACTGTAGACTTGGCAACACTGAAAATCGAGCTAAAAATAAAACTGAAATAAAAATAAATTAAACCAACATATTAATATTTAAATAAAAGCAAACATGAATGAAAAATGACTAAAATTCTAATAAAAACTGAAAATATAAAAACTAAACTAATTCACAATATTAACACAAACTGTAATAGTGTATAAATAAAATTAAATAATACAGGTCATGGCGTCGCTAGGCCATTTTTAGGGGGGCTATAGCCTAATTTTTTTGATTAGCTCCATAAACTGTACAACAAATTCGTGATCGCCTCGGTCCCCTTTAAATTTCATATTAAAACGGCGGCAGACTTCGATCGGCTCCTCAGTTACCAGCTATCTGGAAAGAAGTAGTGATTTCAATAAGAAAACCTGGTAAGGATGACTAATTAATTAGTAATTAGTAATCCTATTAGTTACAGACCAATAGCGCTCACATCCAATCTATGTAAAATCATGGAAAGGATGATAGCGGATAGACTGACTTATGTCCTTGAAAAAAGAGGATTACTGGCTAATTGTCAAAGTGGCTTTAGGAAGGGAAGAAGCACAATAGATTCTGTGGTGAGATTGGCGACTGAAATAAGAAAGGCGCAAGCAAATAGAGAGTCTGTAATTGCAGTATTTTTCGATATAGAAAAAGCCTACGACATGATGTGGAAGGAGGGGTTATTAATCAAACTAAGTAAGATAGGGGTTGAAGGAAGAATGTTTAACTGGATCAAAGATTTTCTGTTCGGAAGGAAAATACAAATAAGGATTGGGGCGGATTTATCAGATCAATACATAGTTGATAATGGCACACCACAAGGCAGTGTGATAAGCCCATTACTTTTCATTATTATGATTAATGACGTATTTGGAACAGTTCCAGAAGATATAGGAAGGTCTTTGTTCGCAGATGATGGGGCGCTATGGAAGAAAGGAAGGAATATGGAATATGTTACTAGGAAAATACAGGAAGCAATTGATATAGTGGTGTAGTGGGGCTATAATTGGGGGTTTAGGTTTTCTATAGAGAAGACTCAGTCAGTCTTCTTTACCAGAAAAATAATTCAGGAAGGACTAATCCTATTAGTTACAGACCAATAGCGCTCACATCCAATCTATGTAAAATCATGGAAAGGATGATAGCGGATAGACTGACTTATGTCCTTGAAAAAAGAGGATTACTGGCTAATTGTCAAAGTGGCTTTAGGAAGGGAAGAAGCACAATAGATTCTGTGGTGAGATTGGCGACTGAAATAAGAAAGGCGCAAGCAAATAGAGAGTCTGTAATTGGAGTATTTTTCGATATACAAGCCTACGACATGATGTGGAAGGAGGGGTTATTAATCAAACTAAGTAAAATAGGGGTTGAAGGAAGAATGTTTAACTGGATCAAAGATTTTCTGTTTGGAAGGAAAATATAAATAAGGATTGGGGCAGATTTATCAGATCAATACATAGTTGATAATGGCACACCACAAGGCAGTGTGATAAGTCCATTACTTTTCATTATTTTGATTAATGACGTATTTGGAACAGTTCCAGAAGATATAGGAAGGTCTTTGTTTGCAGATGACGGGGCGCTGTGGAAGAGAGGAAGGAATATGGAATATTTTACCAGGGAAATACAGGAAGCAATTGATATAGTGGTGGAGTGGGGCTATAATTGGGGGTTTAGGTTTTCCATAGAGAAGACTCAGTCAGTCTTCTTTACCAGAAAAAGAATTCAGGAAGGAATAAAGTTAAGAATGTATGGGAGAGATTTAGAGAAAGTTGGAACTTTTCATTTCATGGAATTAATTTGGATTCACGATTGACATTTGCAGATCATATCAGGAGAATGGAGGAAAAGTGCAAAAGAGTAATACATTTAATGAGATGTTTGAGGGGAAAAGAATGGGGTACAAGTAGATTATCAAAGTTAAGAATGTATGGGAGAGATTTAGAGAAAGTTGGAACTTTTAAATTCCTTGGAATTAATTTGGATTCACGTTTGACATTTGCAGATCATATCAGGAGAATGGAAGAAAAGTGCAAAAGAGTAATAAATGTAATGAGATGTTTGAGGGGAAAAGAATGGGGTGCAAGTAGATTATCAATGAAGAGAATATATGTGTCTCTAATTC